AACAACAACAACAACAACAACAAAACAAAACAAAACAAAACAAACAAACGGTGTTTAATGTTTCCCTACTCATGCAGTATACATTTTAGTCAAATTTAATGCAATGTAAAAAATTTAGTGTAATATAAAAGAAAGAAAAAAGTTCACACGGCTGCTTCAAAATAAATTTAAATGTTTTGGACTACAGTAAACTGTTTGTTTAGACTTGTCACGTATTGGCCGACATGGTTCGAGTTATCGACGGTAAAATTATGTAGAAAATGACCTGAAAGGAAACGAAAGTTGCTTTAACGGGAGGTTCGAGTTATCGAGGGTTCGAGGGTTCGAGTCACCGAGGGTAAAAGTGCAGTAAATGTGTGACGGGAATCCAGGGGAAATCGATTTTGGTTCGAGTTAGCGCGAGGTTCGAGTTAGCGAGAGTCGACTGTAGTACAATACCGATAGCAAAACAGTAGGACTTGTATGAGGGGACAAAAACCACCTAGACGATAGCGGAAATTCCACTCCAAAGCCATAACACAACGAGAATTCCTCGGACCCTCTTCATCGTAACAACATCTTCGTAGCGAAGGTGAAGACGAAGCAACAGATACCGTTTCTAGCTGATTGCAGTCACTGTTTCGAATGAAACAACAGACTGTAACGCGGCTGTCATTGTCAAGGCAGCAGCGGAAATGCAAGTAAAAGTCGATGTTCCTTGTTAAGCAAACGAGATTAAATGGGCAATGAAAAATGGTTGAACAAACAAGCCGACACCCAGATCAGACATAGCTAATCCAATCAGCAACAAGTTTGTTGGGATACAGAGCGAGCGCGAGCGCCATTTGAAATTGTCACAAGACAATTGGCCAGCGTCGCTATGATGGAGAAGGGAACGTTTACAGCAGCGTTTACAAATAAAAGAAAGCCGTCTTAAAGTGAGCATTCCCAGCTGTCGTCATGTAGCGATAGCCATTGAAAGTTATTTTCCAAAAGGCTCGCTGTGAAACGCAATGTAGATTTAACTCGCTGAATTTTGATTTTAAAAAGCGGGCTGTCCATCCAAGCTTTTGAGCCAAACACAACGCGAGCACGTGTAAAATATTGGCTTCACTTCAATGTTTTCCATCTCGGTACGGAAATATCGGCAACGACTGTGTGCCGCGACATTAGGTCTATTAAAAGCATGAGAAATATATTATATCTTGACCCCGTGGCTTCTGTTTTTCCTATTGCCGTTAATAGCCAGATAGGCGAAGTACATCTTGAGGCAAAATTTGTTCGGTATTTTTCTTCAAAGAAAAATAGACACAATCATTCAGCATTTCGTTTTGCGCGGTTTTGGAGTACGTAGTTTTGGAAAGAATAAGCGAAGTTGATCGAGTGTAGAGTGTTGTTGTTACACAAGAAAATTATTTCATTATCTTGAAAAAATCAATCATGTCTTCGCGTGGGACAAATCGCTTATTTTAGTAATATGTACATCTGTTAAGGTTATCTGAATAGCTAAATCTTTCTTTAATATGGATGGAATGAGATCCCATTTTTTTCGCTTGGGTATCGGGGCTTCTAGTAACCTCTGCCTTGCTGTGAAACGCAATGTAGATGCAACTCGCTGAATTTTGATTTTAAAAGGAGGGCTGTCCATCCAAGCTTTTCACCCAATCACAACGCGAGCTCGTGTAATTAATGGCCTCATTTTAATGTTTCCCACCTCGGTGCGAAAATATCGGCAACGAATGTGTACTGCGACATTAGGCCTATTAAAAACATGACAAATATATTATAACTTGACCCCGTGGCTTCTGTTTTCCCTAATGTCGTCAATATAGCCAGAGAGGCGAAGTACGTCTTGGGGCAAAATTTGTTCGGTATGTTTCGTTTTTAAAAGAAAAATCAACACAATCATTCAGCATTTCGTGTCGCGCGGTTTTGGAGTACGTAGTTTTGAAAAGAAAAAGCGAAGTTGATCGATCGTAGAGTGTTGTTTTCACAAAAGAAAATTATTTCATTATCTTGAGAAAATCAATCATATGTTCGCGTGGGACAAATCGCTTATTTTAGTAATATGCATGGATAATTTTATAATGTACATCTGTTAAGGTTATCTGAATAGCTAAATCTTTCTTTAATATGGATGGATTGAGATCCCATTTTTTTCGTTTGGGTATCGGGGCTTGTCGCTGAAATGTCGATATTACGTCTAAAACTGCAAGAAGTTGAAAGGCGAGCATTTCTCTGGATTTTCAATGCGTCAAAGGCATACTATTTGCGTATGTAAAGAAACGATGACCAGACGTTAATATTGTTTCAGTTTTTACCACAGG